GACGAGTCACTTTTTCCTCCCGGAGCCGGCGAGGGTTTTGCGCGGCCTCCAGCCCTTCCAGGAAAAACAAGCCAGGAGGCTGGAGCAGAGAGGCCTGGCCAGGGGGATGGGAGACGCTCGAGGCTCACAGCCACCCCGGCCTGCCCGCTCCCCTGCCCAGGGGGGCACCCCGGTACCCACCACCTTTGCCCCCCACGTCAGGGGCTGAGCGGCATCAGCATTGCTCCCTGCCCCTGGGATGGGCTTGCAGCATGGGACAAAAAGCAGGTGGAGGTGCAGGATGCGTCCATCCCTCCCTTGCCCTTTCTATCCTCCGGCCTCCCTTCCCATCCAGATGAGCTCACCTCCCCTCGCTATCGACCGGGAGGTGGTTTCGGGGGAGTGGGGGCGCTTGTTTTTTTTAAAGCATCTTGGCTACAAACCATCCGGCTCTTCGGGGAGCTTCAAAGCAGGTTTCCAGTAAAAGCCTCGTGCCGCGGTGCCAGGAGACAGCAGTGTCTTGGCGTCGGAGGGGGCATTAGCGGCGCGGAGGGCTCCGAGTGCCGGGATGCTGAGCGGGCATCACTGGCAAGGGATCGATCGATACGGGGGGGGGTTGCTAAAAGCTCGGCATTGATTTCTTCCTCTTTCTCCCGCAGAGGTGGGGCACACGCAGGGGCCGCTGGATGGGAGCCTGTACGCCAAGGTGAAGAAGAAGCTCTCGCTGCACGGCAGCACCGGGGCGGTGAACGCCGTGCGGGCCCCGCTGCCGGCCGGACCCAACCACGTGGAGCACACGCTGTCCGTCAGCAGCGACTCGGGCAACTCCACCGCCTCCGCCAAGACCGACCGCACGGATGAGCCGGTGTCCGCGGGCAACCCGGTGCTGACGCCCGAGGAGAAGCAGGAGCTGGACCGCTTGCTGAGCGGCTTCGGTGTGGACGGCCACGGCGCCATGCACAACCGCGGCCCCGCCGGGCGCCACGTGGTGCCCGCCCAGGTGCACGTCAATGGCCGCGCTGCACCTTTAGTGGCCGAGCGGGAGACCGATATCCTGGACGACGACCTGCCCAACCAGGACGGGCACAGCGTGGGCAGCCTGGGCACGCTGTCCTCGCTGGACGGGGCCACCAATGCCAGCGAGACCGGCTACGCCGAAGGCCTGCGGATGGAGAGCTTGGCCAACGGCCCCGGCGGCTGCAACGGCGTGGACAGGGCCGCGTATGAGGCCGAGCCCATGCTCAACGGCGGGTACCCCTACGACAACTA